GGTAGAACTATGCTTCTTCAAGGTAGCGGTGTAAGTGTAGCACAAACATCACACAACCTCGATAGCCCTACAGCTGGCCTCATTTAACCCTGCTTCTGTATAGGTCTTCAGTATATAATGGATGAGTTGCCATCCCTGTGGTCGTGTCATGTTCTTAACTTGCTATTTCAATTCAAATTGTTTGTCCACTGGGTATGCTATAGCTATATTTGTCTGTATATCATTTACTACAAGAGTGTGGAATATTCCTGACTGGACATTTGGTAGAATAATGTTAAAATGCACCTGTGTCCATATCGGGTTTACTCAGTGTTCCCAAGCTGCTTGAGTCACTTTGCACTTCCATGGCAAGCTGTAGGGGACTTCTGTACCGTACTCTTAAAATCAGGTCCGGTGCTTACCAGTAGATCCATCAAGACAGAGGCAGCACAGCTCAGTGTTGCAGTCCAGAGGCGAGCAAGGCAGGTCGCTCTCTGTCCAGCTCATAGTCCTTAGGAAGCGGATCCAGATCAGTTGTGAAGATGTCTGGTGAAATTCTAAACTAGCCAACAGGAGGCAGAGATGTTAGGTGCCCTCCTGGGGTAGGTGACAGTTGACCAGGAGTTTTAAGAACATGGAGTTGGGAATGAGGTGCCTGCAAGGATAATTGTGCCTCAAGGGCAGGATCCTAACTAATGTAGACCAGGACTTGTGTTGGTGGTTTTCCAAGGCTCTTGTCATTCACCTTTGACTGTACCAGAACTTGGAAGAACAGCTTCACTAGTTATGCAAAATCGCAGACAGAGGTTAGGAGCATAAAGTGGGCATGTCAGCTGGAAAAGCCTGTGAGTGTTTTTCAGTAGAGCCCCTTGAGTTCAGTGGAATGCTTTCTGTGGACTGGACCTTACAGCCTCATCCAGTGCAGTACATAAACGATTGCTGAAATTCAGGTTGTCTTCCCCCACCACAGTACCTACCCAATGGGCTAGCTTCCTTCTCACACCAAAGTATCGGTGCATCTTGTCTACTATATGGGCAAGTTAAAGTAGGATCATAATTATTCCTGATAATCCCATGTATTATAGAGTTAACAGTTTAAAATTTAAACATGAATCTGTTTGGCTCCCTTGACACCGAGGCACGCAGTGGAATTTTAAAAAGTAGTAGTAAAAAGACAAAGCATCATGAGAAGCCAAGAAATCATTAAGCAACAACAAATAACTCAAATGTCTATGCTGAAATTTTTTCAGACTTTGTGTGGAAGTTCGAAAGAAATGGCCTGTTTCATGGTGGGACTTTATTTCAGTTGCATGTGATAATTTCTTTCCAGTAGTGCCTATGGCTGTTGTTATTCAGACTGTTTTGTTTCTGTTATTTAGACTGGCATTTGAACAGGACATAGAGCATGGCAATACAGATGGCCTGGGTGACTGCCAAAGTAAGCAAAGCTTTTACTCTCTGTTTACCATGTGTCACAGCATCCTTCTAAAGCCTCAAATCACCATTACCTGTCAAGTGTTCTTCTTTAACAATGTATGCCACAACAGGGACAGCGACTGCGGCTAGTGATGCAGGTTCAGAAAAGGAATGGTTGTTTAAATGTATTTTAAAGAAAATAGAAAAAGAAATGGTTGGTTTGATTTATACAAACACTGGACTTCAAAGCAGTTACGTAGTGAGAAAACCTCAGTTCCAGAGGATATGGATTACAGCAATGACCTAAAAAATTGGGTGTTCAGTGTCTTTATTAGCCATGGTGGTTGGGTTGTTTATGGAGATGTACAGAAGTGGCTCTGTTTCTTGGTGTTGACTGTGACTTGGACTACATTCCTGTGCAGGACACGGAGACAGTGAAATGTATCTTCAGCTTTGGATCCAGATCAAGAAGTGGGAGCTACTTAGTTTGTGAATCTTAGTGGATTTTACACACAGGCTGGACAACATAGTGGTATTAAAGGTCAGGCAGTACTCACACTGCCTAAGATATTTTAATGGCAAACCTTAGGTACTGAGAGCACAAGTTGGAAGCTTAAACACAGTCTTTAAACATTTACATTTGGCACTGAGGTGCTTAAAAGTGCACAGCTTGCACTGCATGCAAAGAAACTTTGCAGGCTGATTTCTGAGCCTTCAGGAATACCAACATCTGTGTTCAAGACAGCTTTCCTTCCAAATGTTCTTGCCAAGGTTGGTTTAATTCTGAGCCTCAATATTATTTATAAACCTTATGAAATCAAGAATCACATTCTTTTTGCTGCAATTTGCACTGTTGCCTGTAGATGCAATAAAATTACTGAAGCTGAGGAAGTAATGTACAGTGAGAGAGTCATTACTTCTGGAATACAGAGCAAAATAACAAAGTCCTAGAGTGTGCCGTGGGATACAGTGCAGGCCAGCTGCTCTGGAGAAAGCCAGAGCCTCCTCATGCCTCCTGCACCATTGTTCAAGAGCCATTTATTACTTTGATCACTGTGTTTGAGGGAGCACAAGGATTTCAGCCTCTGCGTATCCTCCATCTCAGCTACACCTCACTCTGCCTCTGCCCTAAGATAGGATCACATAGGCTGTCTCTTAAGTTTTCTGAAGGAGATGTACATGTAGTCCCTCCTGTGCTCCCTGTAAAATCGGTTAGCACCATAATCAGGTCATTTCCCAGCTGGCACGACTTTGCCTTTTTCAGCCAGTTCTGCTCTCCTTGGGCAAATAAGTTAGACAGGACTGGAGTGTACCTTATACCAGTTAAATATAAAAAAACCCAGTAGGAAATTATACAGAAACAGCACATTGTGCTTATGGAGAGAGACCTGCTCCTGTACAGAGCAACAAAGCCCATGCCCTGCTTAAATCTTCTTTAGCCCTGAACAATGCATTGAACTTTGACCCTGCACAGAGGTAGATTTCATTCCCTGCTAACATGTGAGTTTTGTCCTCATTGTCTCATGTTGCTAACTGCATCACTTGTAGTGCCTTGCGTTAGATTAGGACCTGATCTTGCAAAGAAAACTGTGTCAAGGAGTACACAGACTTTCCCACTTGGTACCCCTCTCGCAGGGCTGGTCATGAACACTTTCAAAGCCAGATGTTGTTTTTGGGTATGTCTGAACGTTAGTTTTGTCTGGGTTCTTAGGGTACTAATCACATATGTATAAATATCAGCTGAAGCATAGATGGTTGCTAGCAGCAAACTATTAAAAAGAAAAAACGAGAGAGAAATAATGATTTTTCCCCTGTTATTTGTCTTTCAGATTCCTTCGTAGCCCTGAATGGTAAGGAAGTTCTTAGTTTCGTTATTTACTGACAGCAAATACGTTTTGAAGGAATTACTTTCTACTATTTTTTTTTATTATTTTCATACTTCTCTTTTATTTAATGTTTATTCCCAATTTATTTTGTTCATAGACATTTCAACTGCATCACCTGATCATGAAATGTCTTACAACACAGTGTATGGTCAGTTTTTTATTGTTTTTAAAACTTCTTCCCAGATCCTCATGTTAGCTACTAGTTCCTGTACTCAAATAGCTGTTGTCCTTTTTTACTTGCTATGTCTTGTTTTTGAGGGCCTGATTCACTAATCATGACTAGGATTAAGTCATACCTGTTGTTTTTTAATAGCTCTTTTTTTAATCCTCCCTCAAAACTGTCTCCATTGAATTAAAGTCAGATATGGCCTATTTTAATGGCACGCCAGCAACCATGATTAAGAACATGCTTCATCTGACAAAGGAACACTTGGGTATGGTGATGCATCTTACCTGTTCACCAGGAAAAACAAGGTAGCAGCTTACATCCCACTCAGGAGCTGTCCAGGCTGGTGTCATGACTGCTACAGCAGACAATCAGAGATACCTGAGGGAAAGGAGCAGAACTGTCTCTGGGTTACAGAAAGATCCCGTAAGGAAAATTGATCTGTTACCCTTGTCAGTTGAGACTGGGTTATGCCTCAATTCCTGAAAATTCCTGTCACTTCTAGGGTGAGTTATTTATGTTGTCCATGCTTGTGGTATCATAATGTCTGAATGGTGCCTGGTCTGTAAAAAAAAAAAGGATTCATATAGCAAATTACATTACTTGAGCTGAAGAAAAGCATTTCTGCAAGTCTAGAGTAGCAGTTTCCCATGAGGCAGCTGTTAATCTGTGCTTACAGTACTTTGCACCACTTGTTCTGTATATTTGGAAGTGGATTATGCAGAATAAATGTCTTTGTGAGGAATTATTGCAGAATAAATAATCACTCTAAATTCAAACCCACACTTAATATTGCAATAGTTTCTCTTTATAGACATCCTAAACAAAGACAAGTACTCACAGGCTAAGAGGATGTGTGGTATTGCTCCCAGTGAAGTCAATGGCAAATTTCCATGTGGGATGGGAGCTTGCTTGTGAAGTTACTTTCAGGCTGTAAAAGATTAGCAGTTCATCAGAGCTAGGACAAATTCACTATATGTTGGCTGAATGTAGCAAGAGATAGGATTGTGTGCAGTTACAATGAACATTTAATTGATCCCTTCACCTTGTGCCTGCAAAATATGTAGGTACAGAGCAGAGTCACTGACAGCTCAGTACAGCAGAATATAAATAACTAGAGGCACAGTAATACTGTTCAACATTTTCAAAAATAAAATCAAATTCCTCATGTTGTTTATTACCAGGAAATGGAAAATGTGCAGGTGAAACTTCTTGGAAAGTATCATAATGAAAACCAGTGAAGGGAATATACAAAATCAAAGACAAGTTGAAACTTCGTAATGTATAGAAGACTCTTGGTTTCATCTGCATATACAGCTTGTACTTTCTTTCACTGGAAAATTGCTATATTTCCAATGCACAGAGTAGCAATTAAAGAAGAGTAATAATAAAATCCACACTGCTGGAGGTAAAGAAAAGGAAAATGGCCTTGGGCATAGTGCTGATGTGCAGAAGTTTCCTAGGTTTTCTGCTTCTAAGTGCATTCGTAGGTTGCACAGTTATAGCTGTGAGGCTGTGGTTCTGGATTCAATCAGCTACTATATTAGTAGGGACTTTAGCAAAAGCTGATATTTTAGCCTGACCAAGAAAGCATAAAAATGGTTCAGATAAGCAGCAGAATCAAAAAAGCTGCAGTTCCAGGAAGTATAGGTAACAAAAGAGGTCCGTTCTACTGTCTTGGCATGTCAAGCCCAATGACAGACTCCATGAGTTGATCCGGCTTTTCAAGTAGGACCCTACTGCCAGATGCAATGGAGAAGTGCTGAGCCAACATTAACACTGGTTCCCATTCATGCCCTGTCTTTCATAGATTATTTCATTGACCCTCCTCAGATACATCCTGATAACACAGTTGCTAGGCAAGCCAGCTCATTCTTTGATGGCTTTAGTTGAGACACCCATTCTGATATATCCTGTGTTTCCCTTCTCCTACCATGGCAAAACATGAAAGGAAATATGCTTGTCACCTCTATTGATCTTCCACATGAGGAGTGTAAAAAACTCCAGCATGAGGTGGTAAACCAGTCTCAGTAAACATTCTCATGTCTGCTAACTGTAGTGACTGCTCTGAGTCATTGTTTTTTCTCGAGAAAACTAAAATTTCATAAATGTTGCATTTCAATGTTATTGAGTACAGTTGAATGCATAAATATATGGTATTTCATAATAGAGTAAATCTCAGAACGCTGGGATATACCACAGTGCCAACAAAGTGAATGCTCACAATGCTTTTGGATCCAGTGGGCTAAATACATCCAAAGGCATCTGAAATTCCAGTTGCAAAAGAAGTCTTAAGGCCTAATTCCCTTGATTTACTCCCCTATAAATCAGCTCACTTCAATGGACTTACTGGCAATCTGTAGAAGCATGCATGAAAAGCAAACCGAACCCTTAATCTTCATATTCTTGGCATCAGCCTCCTCCTCAATTTGGCAAACTGGCTCACTTTTCTGGGGCAGTCTTACTTGATCAGTTGTAAACAAGTAAAATGCAGAGTCCACACAGGTGATGTTCAAATGCATCCCTTTGACACCCAAGGAGAAGATAGCAGGCTGAAGGTCTGGCTGCAGAAGGTCAGAAGGAAATATGCAAGAACTACATATTTAAACAAGGAGATTAGGCTAGATTTCTCTGCAAATTTGTAAGCAGCTTCAATTACTTTTGGAAACATCAATTCTTAGTGAATTGGGCCCTTATTTTATCCCCTAGCTATAGTCCTTTCTCCCTCTGTAGTATTGATTTAGCCTTTCCCTCTTAATTGTCTAATTAGGTTGCTATAGTTGTTAATAGGATGGTGTGCAGACTTCTTAACCTCTGAGATCCTAATGACTTGTGCATATTAGAGAAACTATCAAATACGTATTGAATCTCTGTCTTTCTTTTAAACCTGAAAAAACCTCCTTGTATTTTACAAGTGCACTTCAGAATGCAATGTACTTACAGAATTGCAGCCCATCTGAATCATTACCCATGCCCGTAGACACTGAGTGCTTTTACTCTCCTTCTGTTACTTGATTACAGCACTCCAAATGAAAAATTTTTGCCAATAATGGAAGCACCTAAACCAGATTTTTTTAAAAATGTGTCTATTTTGGTTTTTATGTGGTTGCTTTAAACAAATAAGTTTTAAAAGCGCTGTGTCTGCAGTTTTTCAGATGGATTGTTTTAAAACAAAGACAGTATTGTATTTTTAGATGGTTAGGTATTAACCGATACTAACATAGAGGTACTGACCACATCTCAGATACGCTGAAGCCTCTTTAAATTGCAGTGAAGCCTGTTTACACAGTTGGAGTGGTAAAGATGGTGTAATGAAAAAAAAAGGCCTGCTACATGTTGCAAACTATACAGCACATTGTAAAGGTTTAATAATGGCTATCTGTGAGAGGGCCATGTCTGGGTTGCCTGCCATTTCAGTCTTTTCTCTGTTTATGAGAGAAGCTTAACAAGCTCATACATTTGTGGTGCCTCTCTGCGCAGAGGTGAAATTCACCCTGTGGGACTGGCTATTCAGCACTTAGAGGACACAGTGATACTGCTTATGGGAGCAGCCACTGCCCAGTAGTAAGTGCTTGCAGAATACAGCCCTAACGCAAGTGAAACAGGCTACTAAGGTCAGATCTGCTCATGCCCTGCTTTCTCAAGTCAAATCAGAGAAAGTTTATCTCGATTACTCGTGGAAGGTTTTTTCTTGGTGCATACTAGACTAACACATTAGTAACAGAATGAATAGACTGATTTCTTGCGTTTGTGTGAAACTCTTCTCTACCTAACAACCATCTGGTACACATTAATATCGTCACAAAGCCTTAGCTTTCCATTACGAAGAAGTTCTCTATGTATTTGCAGCATATGGCTCAGGAAATTTTTTTTCAGAAAATGTGTCCCTTAGGCATATATTTCCGATTACTGTATTAAGAAATGTTTTTCTTTAACCATACTTATGGCTTTTCCTTAGAATTCCCCCGTTAAGCACACCTAAAGTACAAGTGTCTGGACAGAGATATGGGCATATAAATGCATATCAAACACAGGCATAAAATATGGTTGCTACTTGCCAAAATATTCTTCTCTTTTACCTCCTTATCAAGCTATGACTGATTGCTTTCTTATATTGAGTGCAGCACTATTTGTAAGCTGACCACATTATTGCAGTTGCTGAATGGGGTATTAATGTGGAGACTGGAACCCCATGAATGCTGGCACTGTGGTTTAGTCCTTGGGGAAAAGAAGACATGGAAATCTCATAATTTCCATTTTCTGTCCTGTTCTCTGTCCCATTGCTTCTCTTGTTTCTTGGGGATGAGCACAGGAGTTGACAAATGTAAAATGACATAGGGGTGAAAGCTTTCATTCTCCAGTGTGTTCTTGTTTCAAGAGGGCATGTGTTTTCATTCACTAGACCTCTACCTGTCCTTTTGGAAACAGGCAGCCCTTCTGCAGGACTGCTGTGGAACAGGCAGGATGTTTGGATCAGAGTCCGTCTTACTGTGTGTTACCAATGCTCCCAGCCATGCTGTGACTTATGGAAACTTTTTAGAAGTGGATAATGGCTTCTCTTTTCTATTTAAGCACTATTAAAAGCTCTGTCTTCAGCAGAATACAGCCTCTAATTTACTGTGTTAAAGAAAGATTACTGGGGGAAAACACACTTCCAATCATGAGTGGTAAAAAATAATACAGTGCCCTTGTCAGTGTAAGCCTTCAGCCTGAGGTCCAGAGCTAAATTGTGTTAATGGTTAGCTGTCGCAGCTGAAGGTTGGCTCTATGGTGAGAACGCTGTGAATGTGACTAATTTTCCCTGCTAAGCATAGCAGTCACAGGAGTTAGTTGTGTCCATGTCCTGTGCAAAACACAGTCCAAAGTGCTGCCATATATAATCCTGTGCAGTAAATCGAAAGGGCTCCTTGAAAATATAAAGAGGAGCACATTTTCTTCCTCTGTAAGATGATTAAAATTCATTTTTTTTTAGGACTTCTTTAAATCATAGCAGCATCTTAATAGAAGCTGCAACTTTTTTGCTGATTTCATCCATAGTTTAGCCCCATGAAGCTGGTGAAAGGGCCGGATAAAATGAAACACAAAGCAGCATCGCAAAGCTTGGGAGCATTGGTGACCAACATTTATATTTTTGACTGCTGGAGTGAAACTGGGGACCTAGGTTCATCAGCTCTCTGTGTGCTTCTGAGAGCTGGGGCTGGGTGACTTCATAAGCCATCTAAAGCAACCTTTTTGAGGTACAGCTTCCAAAAGCTTTATGCTTATCCAGTGACTGTTTAAAATATATAGAAGTACAGTCTCTACCTGTCCAGCTTAGTGCCTTCACTGTGAGGCTCTAAATTTGGGCTTCTTGTGTTGCTTTGTCTCTGCCCCAGTGAGTCTCAAATTATTTTTGTGAGCAGTGAAACGACATCAAGTGAAGGAGCAGACAGAATCCGTGCTAGGGCAGTCTGTAGCCTGGTGACTGGACTCCTCTCCAAGGGAGACGCACATGTAAGGCAGGAAAATTAAGTTGCTGGGCTGTTAAAAAGGAGGCAGGAAAAAGGAGAGCTGCTGTCAGTCTGGTGTTACCTGAAGAGAAAGCAGTATCTGCCATTCTGTCTGTGAATAATCTGATTCTATTAGTTTGTGTTTGAGCATCCCCTCTTTTGATGAGCTCTTTTAGGAAAGTAGGTAAAGGGAAATATAGCTATTCCACGTTAAATTAACCAGGCCCAGAGCTGCTTGAGTTCTGCTGAAAATAACTTATTTTGGTGCCTGTGCCAAAAGGGAACTTTCAGACACAGACACATGTGCATTTTTAAGGTCAAAATGTTGTGGTGTGGATGGAGTTTCAGTGGCCCTTCCCCAGCAGCAATGGAACAGCCTGAGCCACTGGGAAGTCCAGGTTGGAGATATCTGTCAGAGACCATAGACTCTAAGGAGTCCAAGCATTTTGGGTTCTAATGTACACTTAGGACCCAGCTGAAAATGACATACAGATTTACAAACATGTCTCTGCCCCAGCCAAACCACTGTTAAAATTGTGCAGTGTTGCCAGCAGGGCATGTCCTGTGAACGTGCTGTTTGTTGGGGGGTATATTTGATCCATGTGGAGCTCATCAGCCTTATTCAGAACAGCAGAAACAATATCTAGAGTAGCTGTAATAGGAAAAGAACGTGTGAGACCTCTGTCCTAGGAGGAGGTTGTGGCAGCAGCTGCTGGGATCATGGGTCCCTGGGGAAGATCCACATAGTAAGATGTTGTCTTCACTGTCATGCTGAGCAGAAATTATGTTGCGTCATGCTTATCTCAGAGCCATTTTGGACCATCAGCTCAGACAGGACCGATGGCGAGGGTGCCAGTGGGTGCAAGCAGCTGACGGGCCCTGCATTTTTCCCATCTGGAAGGTGATGCTGCAGTGCAGGCATGATGGTGCTGGGCAATCATTTTTGTAGCTCTGCTGGCACTGCCCTTCAATTTCGGCCATATTAGAAGTTGTTTCATTTTAAATTGATTTTAAAATTAATTTTAAACTAAGCCAGTACCAGGCAGCATTCAGTGTCGGTCAGGCGTGTGTACTGAATCTAGCCAAAGGATGCTTGACTTGGATGGAGTGTGCTCACCCTCTTCCACACGCATTTAACTCTGTTGAATAAAAGCACAGAACCACGAGCTCAGCGGCAGCCCGAGGCATGTGTGCACCTCTTTACACCCTCCACCTGACTGATCTGAAAGGTTCAGATCCCCACTTCCTTGGGGCAGTGCTTTGAAGGACTTTTGAAACATTGCTCAGCCTAAGACAAGATGTTCGCCCATCACAGAAGAAAAGCAGTGCTTGCATTCCTGAGCATGGTGAGGTAGCGTGGTAAGTGACTAATGAGACTTGTCTTCCCTACCTGTATTTATAATGTGAACAGGACACTCCAGTTCCCTAGTCCCAAGCACCACCACTTCCAACTCTCGCGCTCGACAGGGTTATGATGCTAGGGGACGCATGCTGAATTGGAAGGATCCGCTTGGTTCATCTGAAAATACAGATCCATATGTGGCAGTTTCATCCCATAATCATCAAGACAAGAAGGGTAAGGCCTTGGAAATGATGTCCTGTGGTGAGGAGGGAGGGGAGGGAAGACTAAAGTGTAACTGCTTCCAGCTGGCTCAGAGTAACATGTAATAAAACTCCTGTGCTGTAATTAAAAGCTTATGGTAAAGCCTGAAACTAAACAGCCAATCTCAGACTCAGTCCTAGATAATTCACTGCCTGAGGAAACCACACAAAACAAGCAGAAGTGTATGCCTTTGCAGTGTGTGTTGTGCATGTGTATGGGAAGGAGGGAAACAGTGGGGATTTAGCTCCCTTTAAACTTCATCTCCCCCATTGTCTGGCAGGGGAAGATCCATGGCTTCTCATTGTTCTTAAGGGTGCACTTTTATATTGCCTTATTGTCTGAATTCCCAGGGCAGCACAGCTAATTTCGTGTTATTTGTCTCTCAATGACAGACAGAGGTACTGAAGGTCTGTTATTGAAGAACTGACACTAGTCCTAGCCACTGGGCCTAAATCCCACTGTCTTCAGTGAGACCTGAGCATCAAACACCCACCTTTAAGAATGGGGGCTGAGAAGGTCATTAGTGTATTTTAAAAGATATGGAGGTGACTGCTGGTGGAAGGTGATTCTGTGTTGTGTTTTTAAAGCACTGAGAGGTTAAGATTTAGGTGTCGTTTCACAGTGTCCAGCCCTGTGCTGAAGCACACTTGGGTTTAATACAAGTGACAGCCCTGTCATTTGGCCTCCAGCCCTCCTTTGCTATACATACAGAGAATTGGGCAGAAAATTACCTAAATTTGCCACTTGAACATGCTTAGAGAAGGAGAAGCTTTTCTCCACTGTAAGGATGGTGGTGCCCCTCATTCCATCTTGGCCCTCTGTTGTTCTCCCAGCTCCTTTTAATCTGTGTCTCAAAGAGGTTAAGACGGTTCCTTTGTAAATAGGGGACTTAGGTTCAAATAGCTCCACTGCCTAGGGAGGTCTGAGTCCTTGTTATTCTTCTCCAGGGTGTTCTTAGATTGCTTCTTTCAATCTCTTCTCTGTTGAAGATGTTTCGCTCTGTGTGGACTAATTAAGTACTCAGCGGGCCAGAAGGAGGATGGGTGTGAACAAAACTCACTTGCTGAGTGGTTAGGGCACTCACCAGGGGCAAGAACACGCATGAGCTTAAGTCCTTTCTGCTGTGAATACTTGATACAAAACACTTAAAATATTAATTGAAATGTGGATTCCAGTCTCTATTGTTCATGCATTTTACATTAAAAACTCATTAGACAAAAGCATCAGCTGTTCCTCAAAAAGCTATTGGCACACCATGCCTGCTGCTTTGCGTTGTCTGCCCAAACTAGTAGGTTATGAAATCAGACTCCATCCCCTCCCTCTGACCCAGTGAATCTTGAATCCTCTGCATTGGCTGTGGAGACTTTCAGCAGGGGGTATGAGCACATTAACATTGCAGAACAGTCTTCAGGAGAGCTGCATGAGCAGCTGGCAGTGGTCTGGACCCAGGCTGTGAACTTGGCACCTGTTATTCACAACAGCCCCAGACGTGGTGCCTCCCACATTCCTGGGCTATCCTGGGTTTCTCACAGAGCTCCCCAGGATTTACCTCAAAAAGTCTTCATGGTTCCTAGCCATGAAGGTCATGGGCATCACCTGGCTGGCCCAGCAGAGATGAAGACTGAAGTGCTTTTCCAGTTGAGGAGGTCGGTCAAATTAGGCAAGAAATGCGGCAAAATTTCCTGAGATCCCATGGCAAACTTTAATCTAGTAGCCTTGGCTTTTAGGCTTGACAGCAGGAAATGGAATATGAAGATTTGAATTCCCTCAGGCAGAGGATGCGAACTTGTCTCCCACCCCCCATCAATAAGCTTTTCCTATAAAAAAGGGAAAAACTGCCATTTGCTCTTCTTCCTTCAACTGGGTTTTAGAAGTGGCGCCTGTTCAAACAATCGTTTTCAGAGCTTGATCCTGTAAACATCTGGGAGAATAGCTGCAAATCTAAAGCAAAAAAGTGAATTCCTAGAACTGGATCAGGTTTACATGTGGGTTAAGCACAGAGCTCCTCTGCACCCTGCAGACCTGTGGTCTGCTGAGCCTCAGAAGAGGAAGAATTTGAGGCAGCTGGTATACTCAAACTCCAAACCATAACTTAGGGTGCAAGTGACTGAGGGTGCTGAAGAGAAAAGCTTAATTCCTGCTTAAGCTTAATTTGAGATATCGACCTAATTTTTTTAATTCCTTAGCCCTTACCCTTCAGCTGTAGAAGGGCAACTCAGAAAAAATTATTTTGGGGTGTCGTATATGGAGGAAGGAAGGCAGACAAGCCTGTAAACACTTCTAAAAATGGCATGTGATTTACCTAGCACTCCTCTTTCCTCTCAGCAATAAATCAGTGATAATGCTGACAGACAAAAAAATAAGGTTTTTTTCTTTTTCTGTCCAGTCTGTTAGTAACATCTAGTATTCAAAATGCTTGTGGTGAGAGGACATTTATTAGAAAATCGAGTAAGTAAGTCATATCTTTCTCTCCTCCACCCTGAGAGGAGGGGATGTCGTTAAGCAGATCTGATAAGGAAGGAAGGAAGGAAGGAAGAAATGCTTGAACCCAGCTCTCCTGCTGGAGTCAGACAGGAGAGCAGTCTCAGAAACTACTGGTAGTGGAAGATCTGACCCTTTATGCACCCAGAAGAATGTGGAGACATGTATGCATTTTAATGGCACTATTTGTTATGTGTGTGTGTCCCTACTTCACAAATCTTTTGCGAAGTAATGCTTAATAGATGGAAAGCTAGCTCTTAAAAGCATCTTGTATGCCAGTAGCAGCTTCCAGAAGAGCATGCAGTGAAAATATTAATAAATGCGTAGCTGTTGGATTCGAATAATTTTCGCTTCAGTTCACTGACTGATGAGGTGGCTTACATTCAATAGTTCCCTCCCCAGGGAGTGATGGTTACCAAAAAGCCTTATTAGCACTTGAGAGGGTCGTTTAAATATCATGCATTCTTTGGTGCCTAATTATGAATATTGACAAAGCTGGAAGCAGTCTACACACAACCAAAACAATGGCGGCAGAGGTGACCGCATGATTGTTTACCATTACCATCTACTTGTGTGTTGTTACTCCTTGCCTTGCCCAGTCAAAGCCAGTTGGCTCCAAAATGACTGTTGATATGTTGTTCTAAAAGGGCAAAGGAAAGAGTTTTTACACAAAATTAAATCAGAAAATGTTACGCTTACTATCCTTTTCTCAAGATTTTGTTTTCACTTTTGCTGTAATTTCTTTTACTTTCACACATTCACAGAGAAAAAATATTCTCCTTTTTTTTGACATTTTCTCTTTGTTTTGCAAGGTTCTGTGTGGTGTTCTTCATTGGTTGTGTCTAATCCTTTGGACGTGTTTTCTTTCTTTTCCTGTGCCCACAAACGACTTCTTACTGATTGTACTAATTGTACAGAATCCACTTGCTGCTTTCTTTTCTGTAACATGGGTGCTTTGATGATGTCACATCCATCCATATGCTTCACTTTTAATTCGGTGCAGGCATCTTGGGGAATATCTGTGGGGGTGTGAAGAGGGGGTTCTTTAAAAGGGTTGACTCATGGGAATGTGACATTTGTGTGCCACAGCTTTAGTAGCTAAATATACTCTGGGATTATTGTTTCTGAGCTACATCACATTTCTTGCCAAGATGAAAATGTGTAGTGCAACCCATAGAGTGGGAACTATGTGTTGCCATCCCACGGGCATTTTCATTTTGGCCATTAAGGAATCTGCCCTTCCTGCTGCAGGGGAAAAAAAAAAAAAAAAAAAAAAGAATCAGCTCTGATTGGGCAAACTGCACCCCTCTTTCCTATTCTCCCCCATCTCCCCACCAGGGAAAAAAAAAAACCAAAACAAAATAAAAAAGAACCCCCAAAAAATCATGTTCTAGAGTATGTTTACATTTTGTTTCCTTTCTTGCTGTGTTTTAGTGTTAATTTAATCGTGTGTTTCTCGCTGTTGTTGAAACAGTTTCCCTAACCTCACCTCTAACCTTCTCCCCTGCTGCCATTGTACTTGGTCTCCCTCCCTCCACAGCTGTGAAGCTCTTCCTGTGGAGCACTCCAAGGCTTTACCCTCTACACCCAGTAGTGCTGTGCCTCTCTGTAGTCATCCTACTAACAAAGGGAAAGTAAACACATATTGCTCATAGAGAGGCCTATGTGAAGAAAACAAAGTGATTTTCTTCAGGAGTAGCTGGCCTTACCCTGCCGCCCTTCTCTGCTGCTGCCTGTCCTTCCTGCCTCACTTCAGAAATGTCTCATGATTTTCATGTCCTGGGTTCATTAGCAGAAATGCAGTCAACTGCTCATTTATCTTGCTTGCTCCCTAAATGCCTAGAGTTTGCCTTTTAATCACAATGTTGATAAACTGTTTGCAAATTCAGCTTACAATTTTGTGGTTCTGCTATATCTTCTTCTCCACAGCATTCAGGTGGACAAGGCTGAGGTGGGCACTGAATGATGAAAGTGTAGCGTTGCTGTTAGCAGTCTTAATATTTGTGTTCTTACTTGTCTCAACATTCGTTAAGTGAAGATTATGAGGTGGTATCTTTTTTCCTTAACAAGCCTTTTGTCGCTATCCAAGTAACAATGGTGAAAAGCTGATTAGAAGCGGAATGTGGTGGACACAGTTTACAAGAGTTGCTGGTGTATTTGGATCTCCAGGACACTCCTGTAGATACAGTATGTGGTAGATCCTATTATTGAAGCCACTGAGGTGAAGGGCTCCAGAGCAGGGGATCACGCCAGGGGACCTTTCCTGAAGCAGCAAAACCGTGGCGAAATCAGCCAAAGCAAAAGCACTGGCGAAGAGGGTACAGCAGCCGCCATCTCCCAGAGCTCCAGCCAGACCTGCTGACACACAGCACCTGGCGCGGTGGGGCCATTAGTGAGGCCACTGTGACCACAGCCACACCCTTACAGTCACCTCAGGTGTCACCCAGCACAGGCAAGTGAACAGTGTGTGTGCATCGGCCCAAGCAGTGAGG